GTGGCGGGGAAGCCCCCCCAAGCCCCAGAGAGAGCGGGGCCGGGCAGTTTGGGCTGGAAGCCCGAGCCCTGCCCCTGTCAGCGGGGAGCTGGCAGCCCGAGCCCCAGGGAGGGTGGGGCCGGGCAGTTGGGGCAGGCAGCCCGAGTCCCGGCGGTCAGTGGGGGAGCCAGCAGCCCAAACCATAGCTCTCCATGTGGGGCTGGCAGCCCGAGCCCCAGGGAGAGCGGGGCCGGGTAGTTGAGGCTGGCAGCCCGAGCCCTGCCCCCATCAGCAGGGGAGTCGGCAGCCAGAACCCCAGCCCGAGCCCCAGGAAAAGCGGAGCCGGGCAGTTGGGGCATCCATCACACTGAGGAAATTTAAACTTAAATCCCTGAAAATATTCATTTTTAGGAGGAGGTTCATGAGATTTCACAATTTAGTGAAAGGGGTTCGCGGGCTGTTAAAGTTTGGGAACCACTGATCTAGACCAGGATCCTGTCTCCAACAGCAGTCGGCACCAGGTGTCTCTGAGGAAGATGGAAGAACCACAGTCAACAGATCTCAGTGGCTCTGTCTTACACCACATAGTAAACCCAGGCTCAGGGTACGTCCAGACTACCCGCCGGATCGGCGGGTAGCGATCAATCCCCGAACGCGCTCCCGTCGACTCCGGAACTCCACCAGGGCGAGCGGCGGTAGCGGAGTCGATGGGGGAGCCGCAGCCATCGATCCCACGCCGTGAGGACGGGAGGTAAGTCAAAATAAGATACATCGACTTCAGCTACGCTATTCCCGTAGCTGAAATTGCGTATTTTTCATTGACACCCTCCCCCCCAGTGTAGACCAGGCCTCAGATTCAGGTTTAAGGCCGTACCCCTCTCTGGACCTCAGTTTCCACATCTCTAAAATGGGGTCAATGATACTTTATAAAACACTTTGAGATCTAGTGATGGGAAACACTATATAAAAATATTATTACTAATCCCTAATAGTTAAGATATCATTTTAAGCCTTGATCCATTTATTCCTTCCAAAATTCTATATTTGCATAACTATTACAATTCTGGCCCTTCTAGTTATCCATATAAATGTCCAATACCTTTTTTGAATCTTGCTACATTACTGGCCTCAAAAACACCATGTGGCAAGGAGTTCCATAGTCTAATTACATGTTGTGTGGAGAAATATTTATCGGTTTTGAATTTGATCTCTTTCCATTTCATTGACTCCTCTTGTTCTTGTGTTATGAGACAGGAAGAAAAGATGTTCCCGAACTATCTTCTCTGTCTCATTATTTTTATATCGCTTTATCCTATCCTTTTCTATTCATCTCCTTTCTAAAGTAAACAGCCCCATTCTTTTGATTCTTAATATAAGTTTTTTTTCCAGGCCCTTGATCATTCTCATGGCCCTTCTCTGAACCCTTTCTGATACTGCAAAATCCTTTTTCAGATAGTGTGACCAGTACTGCACACAGTACTCTAGGTGAAGGAAAATTATCAGTTGATATAAAGACAATATAAATGTTACCATATTATTCCTCCCATCCTTAACTATGTGGTTAGGGTATTTTCAGAAATCTAAATCCCTAGTTTATAGCTTAACTCTGTCTTTGAGTCAGGATTGAATTGCCTGATATGTCCCTAACCTCAGTATAATTTTGTGGAAAAGATCCATGTTTGCAGAAGGTTCCCTCTGACCCCGGCCAGTTGTGACTATTTATTCTTTGAAGCTGGTGCAAATGCTGGGAATATTAGAAGTGGTCCTGCTGGAGATGGATTAGTGGGTGGAATTCAGGTGTCATGAAGGGGTCAAAATAATTAGTTGTAGGCCTGGGATGATTCCATTTCTATTTTTTTTTTTATCATTTCAAAGATATGTTTATTTTTAAGCATTCATTCCACATTCATCTATTTAAAGTTTCACGGTTGCACTTACTTATGGGATTTAAGCCTTTTTTTTTTCTTTTTTCTTTTATCAGTTTAAATGTTCACAGTTGTGGGAAATTGGAGGGGGTGTCAGACAATTTTTTAACGACAGTAGATGGTGAGATTCAAACAGTTAAAGCTTTATATCTCTTAACACACAAAATTGTTAACATTTCATGTCAAAATATTCACAGTAAATATCCTTAAATCAAATTCTAAGTTTTCAAACAGAATTTTTCCTTCTTTGCCTATCTGTAAATTTCAATTATCAGTTTGTGTGTACAGTGAAACTACATTGACCAACATTTAATCGATAAAAATCGTATCCTTCCAAGACTAAATACTTGTCCTGTTGCTCTCCTATGCATAACATAGTTCCAAACATTATACACAAATAGCATGGATGAAATATGTAATGTGTATTTGTGTGCACATTTTTAACACCAAATAATGATCAGAAAAGAGCTGACAGGTTGCTCGGACATAAATAGTTCAAATGCATATTGTCTTTCTACAATGCTAGACTTAAAGTCTAACCCCACTCAAACATTAGCAGTGTCACAAATTTTCATGATTTTATCTTTATCTCATATGGTGTTGTTGTTTTTTTTTTTTTTTTTTACACAGACCCTGTTCCCAGACGCATCCAATTATGTACAAAGAAGCTTTCTTGGAGGGTGGGAGATTAGATTTCATTGTTGTGGAGAACAGATTGAATGTGTGATCTGAGTATGGACCTAAAGGCTCAAAATGAGGAAGCAAATAAACACCTCAAATTTATTTTTATTATTATTTTAATTTTAAGACAATTTCATGATTTTTGAACACTTTTGTACACTAATACAGTATTAGAAATCCAAATCTATGCTTAATTTTATAACAAACATGGACATTTTATAGTGTACATATTCACTGGCAAGGCAAGCAAAACTATCTTAACTCTGCCCTCAAAACAATATTCAATAATATTTCCCCACCTAATAGTTTTCTTAAGGTCACGCACCCCTCTAATTTCCCACAGCTGTGAAAATTTAACTAGATTAATATTGAATAAAAGCTTAAACCTAAACATTGATATTAGTATTCCCAATTCCTGCCATAAAAAGGAGCTGGGAAGGGGGAACGACATTTTTTTTTTCATACAAATATTCAGATTCATTTTTCTTCCACTGGTTTTGAAAATGAAAGATTCATTCATTCAAAGTGTCTTGATCCTATTTCCAGGGGTGGCCAGCCTGATCCTGAGAAGGAGCCAGAATTTACCAATGAACATTGCCAAAGAGCCACAGTAAGACATCAGCAACAACAAACATATGCATCCGAAGAAGTGAGGTTTTTACTCACGAAAGCTTATGCCCAAATAAATCTGTTAGTCTTTAAGGTGCCACCAGACTCCTTGTTGTTTTTGCAGATACAGACTAACACTGCTACCCCCTAGTAAGACATCAGCAGCCCCCCCATTAGCTCCCCCAGCCCGCTCCCAGGGCTCCCACCAGTAGCGTAACTAGTGGGGTGCAGGGGAAGCAGCTGCTTCCCCCAGCAC